GGGTATGGACTAGATAGATCATATCCATATGGTCTTACGGCACCTTGAGTATCACTGCCGGGATGCGGAATCCTTGGGGGCGAATCATAATAGCCGGGTGCCGGTTGTCCGGGATACATTGGGGGCCGACCATAAGCTGATGGAGGTGGATACGGATAACGATGATGTTCCGAACCATCGGGTATTGGTGGTGGATAGTAGTATGGATGATAGCTGTACCTCCTGTCGTAAATGTCGTAGTAAGGAGGATAGTGTGGTTCACCCATGTATTCCGGACGATCATGCCATGAAATCGGTCTATGCGGAGGATATCCAGGGGCATACATCGAAACGTTAGGATCATAATGACCCATGTGAGGAATGTGATGATCGTATGGCATTCGGGGTCGAGGGGATAATGGGCTTCTGCTGGAATGATTCTTTCGTTTGTCCGATGAATCTGGCGTTCTCTTTGAACGTAGATCGTCCAGGGGTGAATTATGGTCGTGCATCTCCGTATCTGAAGAATCGCGACTCTCGTTATCATCATTCTTTCCGTCACCACGGGGGCGTTTCATTCTATTTGGATCGGAAATGTCGATTGGTTCTAGCTCTTTTCTTTTGGCCAGCCGTCTGCTTAGAGGTAAATGGTAAAGGTCGAATGTTAGTGTTAACAAAGAAATAGTACGGAGCGTTAACAAGATGAATTATCAAATAACCTTCGTATCCTAATTTCTTTCCTTATTCTGATCTTTAAACCTTGATCGGCAAAAGAACGTGACAAAAATGTTGACTCTAAATTTATAATGATAATGATCTTAGCTTGCTAGAATAAGGATCTTTGAAGGAGAGAAAAAACAAGACGCGAAGCAGGTAAGCTGATTCGTCGTAAATCGCCAACCAACCAACCTTCCATCCCCGGAAATCTCTTTGCCGAGTACACAACAAATATATCGGAAAATATCGACTTACAGTGGTACACTTCACGCCTAATCGATGAATAAATGAAGCATTAAAAAACGAATTATACAAATCGATCATTATTAAACAGACAATTTTTCGACGACAATTACCCAATGATCTCAAACAGACTAAGCTTCAATCGATAAGTTCCTTCCATACGCACAGATAAATCGGGAAACACGAAAAATCCGGCATCCGAATTATCAATATCTTTGAGGTGATATAAGGAGGAAACGACAGAACCCGTGGTGGAACGAGTTTTGCCATCACGAAGTAAATGTAATTCTTCGTCTGTATCCGGAGCCACCAGGGACGCGTACATGAAGAAATAAGGATTCTGAAGGAATGAACTGAAGAAAATTATGCGGGGTCAGCACGGTCCTGATCACATGATAAGGCTCGCGTGAAAATTATTCATACCTTTTTTCGGATTGAGGCAGTGTCGCATCATAAACCTTCAATTGAATTATTGGAGGAGGATCTATGGGACGCCTGTCAGCTGTTATCATGAAAGTATGTTAATAAAAGGATGGTGCAGCGATGCGGCGTACGCCTTCGTATTACGTCATTGTGAACAAATGATATCAGGTGACCGATGTTAAAATTAATAGGACGTGATCACCATGTACGTAGCGATATAAAACATAATTTTATCGCGAATGTCACGATTCATTCCACGAAATGCCTTGCAGACTAATCTAAAACGTAGCCGAGTGTACTCGAAACGCGTGTGTTATCTTGATATTGCAATTTTTTTTCTTTTCTTTTTTTTTTTTTACTCCACACAGACCATCGCAACAAGAAAGGGAGTATACAAGCAAGAGAGGCATTGAAGTCCAAATAAATCTCAACTCATATCACAAGTTGGAGAAACATTTAAAACTCCTTTCGCTGGATATTTGTCGCATCAAAATAATATGTGATCGGCGTTTGATAGCGGATGCTCACCTTTCTCGCCTATACCACACATCCTTGATTGTTTTGGTTGTTGCCGCAAGATTAGTTCGTATTGTCTAGTTAGTCATGAAACAGGAGATTTAGGAAATTCTCATGTGTGTATGCTGAAGTTTGCCGATGAACAAAAATCAAGGATATCATTATACTCACATTTCCTGCCTCTCATCCTTACGTTGCCGTACTGGGGCAAATTGATATGATACTATATCATCCATTTAAATGTTTAGAGAGAAGGGAGGGAGTGGGAGTGGGAAAGGGTTCGGATCCTAATAAAGGATAACCTGCGAGGTGTAATGGCGCGAAATCGGAAACGGCTTAAGGAAACAGACTTTTTAATCTCAAGAGGACAAGGTGAAAGTTATATACACTATATGCGCATGGAGTACTTGCACCGGAGGTGGTGTCTTCGTTACGGTGCAAATGAGTGATGCCTTTTAGTCTAACCCTTTTGCTGTGAAAATGTCTTTTTGGACGACTTATTTTTTCTTAAAAAATTGCGAGTGGACCCAGTGGTTGTGAAAAGAGCCAGGAATGTCTTGGCGTTGGTTTTTTATTGACGGTTTCTAAAAATTTATCTAATTTTTCGGGTTTTGGGACAAATAGTGGTATCGGGAGTAACAGATAATGCCTTTTTATATACGTACGTATACAGAAAATTTTTTTTTGGATTAGAGATTTATGCTGATAAAGGAGATGAGTACGAGGGAAAGTTTAATCCTCATGTGGTTATTATATACATACATGAGAAGGAGGGAAATGAGATTGATTATATAGTGATAAACCGGGGAACAGGGAGCTAATCCAGGAAAAAAAATCTCTTGATTGAGGTTACGTATTACTGATTATAATAAAATCGTGTAACTATGATGCGCAGATTGATTGGCGACGACTCTTACAAGGGATTTTTTTATATTATGGGCACAATTGAAAGTCAATTTCCTTATGCGCCGGATACAAAGATTCCGAAAAATATTTCCTGATTTCTCGAGAATTCAAGGAAGTAACCTGACCGTCAAACGAGAGAGAGAGAATATATATATATATATCTATATATATATAATTTTTTTTTTTTAAAAGGGGTTTGAAATGCTTTTATAAACCGAACGGTAACTCTATGTTGTATCCCTAAATTTCCTAAATTGCAACTTTGATCACACAATTTATATGTCAATAATAATTTAAGCCTTGAAATGGTGCATTTTTTTTTTTTTCTTAAGCAGGAGTACACAAAACCCACGCACAGAAAAAAACTTTAAAAATTTAAATGCACGATGATACGTACCTTGTTGGTAGTTCCGCTAAACACGATCCCTCTTTTTGTTTCTGGTCGCTTTTTTCGTGAGGATTGTCATACAAATAACAAAGCCCATCTCTTAATATGGACCGGCTAATTGACTACGCGCCCCCAATTACCTGTTTATTAGAAGGGGAGAAAAAATTGTGTCCGACCAGTCGTAACAAAGAAAACGGCAGAAAGGGGATCAACCCCTTCATTTGGAGTCACCTTCCC